TTTTTTTTTTTTCCATTGTTATCTCCATTGAGTTCGTTATCTCCACTTGGTTTTTGTTATCTGCTATGTTCTTTATCTTCATTGTCATAATGTTTTTTTGTATTGTCTTTATTCTTTTTAATGGATAGTGATTAATATTATAATAAATTTAAATTAATATTATAATTTTTTTAATTACAAATATGACTTTATTTATACTAGTTATTATGCAAATAACTTTTTATGAGCATTTCATACAAATTTGATAAGCATTAAGAATTATATAAAAGTCTTAAAAAGTCTCAAAAAGTTTGCATTGAAAGTCTTATAAAATCTCTATAACAATCTCACAAAAGTCATTCCAAGTTGCATAAAGTTTACACTTAAAAAGTCTTAAAAAGTCTCTAACAGTAGTCTCAATTGAATACACTCTCTACTAAGACTTTTAGAGATTTATAAAGTCTTTAAAAGTTTCACTTGAATATATACAGACTTTTTAAAACTATCAAAAAGTTTCAATTGAATACAACGAAATTTTAAAAGTATTAAGAAATAATATTTGAATACACCCTCGTTACTCTCAATCGTGATATCTAGACTTGATCGTGATATTTTGGACTAAGAAATATTTTATTTATATGGTCTAAAAAAATATATTTATGACTTGATCCAAAAAAAAAAATCAATATTTTATCGTTGTGTATCTATCTCCAAAAATACACACATAAATTCACCAAACACAAATGTAATAGATCCATCTTGTACAAAATACATATTTTTTCAATCTTTGATCTAATCATGCAATGATGGAATGTTAGCATCCTATATATGTGCATTGTGAAGCATCTGAGGTCTCTATATAATATAATGCAAACAAATTAACACACATCAACAATATTATTAAACAAGAAATATAAAACCAAAGCAAAAAAATACTCTTCCTTTTAACAAATATAAAGCAAATTAAGCGTCATTATGGTCATGAAGAAGTTGTTAATGATTTTGCTTATATGCCCTTCTTTGTCATTAACATTTACTACAAATTATAATGACGAGACGACAAATTTAGAAGCTTGTTATTACAGTGCATTATACAACTATGGTGATTCCAATTCAGACACGGGGGGAATAGCAGCGGCGTTTTATCCACCGGCCTCGCCTTCAGGCGTAACATATTTCGGTCGACCGGCGGGGAGAGCTTCGGATGGTCGTCTAATCATAGACTTCATAGGTAAAGAAAGTATCACAAGTTTTTGTACCTTTTTTTTTTGGATCGTTTCTGTTTGTTTTTGTTAGTATAACATGTGGTGAAAAATAATTTATTTAATGTAATTTTTTTGTTATTTAACTTGTTCTAGGATTTTACTTATTTTAATTTGTCATTATAAATTAAGTGTATAAATAATATTAAAATTAAAGATAGATAATATGTGTCACAATTTTATAAATTTTATTATTAATAAATGAACAACATATAATATTATTTATTTAAGTATGCAAATGAATTTCTATATTATATTGATTGCATAAAATGTTATGCATAACATATTTTTTATTACTTTGAGGGATCTTGACCAATTAAATACCAAACAGCATATTGAAACAACAACAACAATAACAACAACAACAACAACAATAATAATAATAATAATAATAATAATAATAATAATAATAATAATAATAATAATAATAATAACAATAATAATAAAGTTTAAGGTGTTTTTTAATGCCATAAAATTAATTGTATGATTAAAAACTAATATTACTTTTAGAGTAAATAGCTTGAAAAAATACAATGTAATTTTTGGTGATTATGTAACTTATATCTACCATTTAATGAAAATTACAATTAGTTGATTTTAGTAACAATTAATGTATTATGATAGAATAATTAATAAAATACGATTACACTTAATTTATATAAATTGTAACAAGTTTTATCATAATTGATTGAAAAATGGGAGAGAAAAATTTGTGGTTTGCATCAATTTGATTGCCTGAACTATTATATATATAAATTCAAGTTATCTTGCTCACTATTTTAAAATCCTCCCTATATATAATTACAGAATGCGCTGAGCCTACGTGGCTGCTTCTGGTGCTTCGTAATCCTACTTGGCGAAGAATCATGCTTCGTAATTAGGTTTGGACAAATAATATTGTATATTAATAATTAATAATCTAGGTTCGGACATTCTATAAATATTATTTAGCTAAATTAGGTATTTTAATATCACTTGTACTAATATAACCCTTTAATTATTTGTAATTTTACATAGTGAGACCCTAAGTGACTAATATATCATTGACTTTGATTTGTTTCTTTCAATTAACTATTGAATTATAAATGTATTTTAAAAGTTGATAACTTTTGTACTTATTTTCGGGTTTACATATATTATATATCAAATTAATCATCTTTTGATGATCTTCGATTTGACATCCATATTGTATATATGAAATAAATAAATTATATTTATCTTTATAATAATAAAAAATAATAATATTTATCAAAATTTATTAGTAAAATAAAATTATTTATCAATTGATATATTTATTTTTCATGTAGTTATATGTTGTAAGTTAAAAATTATTATAATATAATACAGGTAAGTCACACAAATAAAAAGTTTTTATGCTAATATATAATAATATATATATTTTTGTAAAAAGTATTTAAATTTTCAACTAATTTTTCACATTAATTTTAGACTTTAAGAAAAAAAAATTAGCAAGCACCCGTATAATACACGGGTGTTATACTAGTTTAAAGCAATAATTGACAAGTTGGTTCGAATTAATTTGATAAACAACTCACTAATTTATCCTTTTTGCTTTTTTTTTTTTTTTTTTTTTTTTTTTTTTTT